AAAAAATTTGTATGACTTTAAAACATTTTTATTTTTTCCATACGTTTCGACACATTGTTTTGTGTCATCTTCAGTGGACTCTAGATTGAAAGAACAGATAGAAATTATTAAATAAAACTAAAATATAAGAAGTGATATGGTATGAACTTACATGTAATTGAATTAATCCTAATTATTTTGGTCAAGATTTGACCAGGGCTTTTATTTAACCTGGGACCCTTCGGGGTAGGGGATACAATTATATGAGTATAAATACCTGTAACATATAATAATAAGGGAGTCTAGCAAATGTAATAAGAGAAGAAGGTTGCAGAGTGTAGTTCAATATATGTCATAAATTAAATAGTGGTTTTATTCACATCTTCTTAGGGTGATGAAATATTTATAATTTACAGTCCACTCAATATCAAATTAATCAAAGTGATCCTCACCATATTTCATATTATAAATGTTCACAATACACGAGACGTTGCAGTTTTACGTGTAAAACGCCTGAATGCACAGCAAATACATGACAAATTGACAGTATTCAGTATAATTCACAAGCATAATTTATAGCTTGTTTTTTTTAATAAGAGCGTAACATGGCCTTGCCATAACATTGGTCTGCTGTGAGGCAGAATCGGCCTTGGTTAGTTTACCTCTCAAGTCTTTGTCCCTTATTGCTTCGATTGCTCCTTGCATGCTCTCATAAGTTGCATTTCGTAAAATTCTGGCAACGTCTCTCATATCCGATGACTCCAAACCTAAAGCTCGTGCCAAACGTATAGCCATCGATCGGGGATCCTTCATAATCGGCCTGCTGTCCAAAGAACCACCTGATGACATTCAGTTTGTTTAGGATTTTGTTGTGCAGTTAATGAAGCGTTTTCGATCTGAATTTTTGTACTGTGCTCTAATTTGCATGAAATTTTGGAATTAGGTTTATCAAAAGTGATAAAGGGATGTCACCCCTTCTCAGTGGTGTGATTTTTTTTTCAAAAATAACGTCGGATATCGATAGAAAAACTAATTAAAAGAAAAAATATTTCATAAAGTTTTTCAAAAAAACAAATACCTTTCAAGTTACTGACTACTTCGTTCATTTTCGGCTTTTTTTAGTTTTTTTGCAAATATCTCCAAAAATATACATTTTTGTGAAAATCACGTATTGAACAAAATTCTGTCAATTAAAATCTTAATAAATCGGTCTTTTGTAAAGTGTTCTAGGAAAAATATTAAGCAAGATTTGAAAGAGCAAAGTCGTTTTTTATTTCGATCAAGAAACGTAGGGCTTGAAAAAGAACTTATGGACAGATTCTGCCGCATAACAGTCAAATGTTATGGCAAGGCTATTATTTTCATACTAAATATTGACAAAAGCAATGCGGTTGGTATGCAGTCAGGCGTATTTCTCAGGTTGTCAGATAGAAAACCTAACCTAACACATGTCAAAAGACTATCTTAGATAACAGGGTGTTTCTGATCCAGCTCCATAACATAGGAGTAACGTTGCAGTTTATGTATAGTATCTATTATGATTCTGTGTATTCGGTGCACAGTAAAAAATTCAGAGTGACAATTGACAAGGAAAATAATTTTTGAACAATTTCTTGAGAAATAAAGAACTCTACTGACGATCAAAACATTTTCTTAAGAAATTCAACAAAAAAAAGGTGATTTTCAAATGACTTTTTACAAATTTCTTAATTTTCGAACTATTTACTACAAAAAAATGCAACGAAAAAAGGACTCTACTGATGAACAATTTAATTTTTGAAGAACTTTCCTGAAAAATCCATATAAAAAAGGGACTCTACTGACAAAAAAACTGAATTTCGAACACTAGTTTAATAATTCCAATAAGAAAAAAGGACTCTACTGACGAGCAAAATGATTTCTGGTCGATTCTTTAAAAAATGAAACTAGAAAAGGGACTCTACTGATGATCAATTTGATTTTTGAAGGACTTTCTTAAAAACTCCAAATAAAAAAAGACATTACTAACAAGAAGTGTGTTGTTTTTCGCACACTATTTAATAATTTGATAAAAGCCATGTGGTTGCTATGCAAAGAAAAAGGCACTCTACTGTCAAGCAAAATAAAGTTTTCTAAACAACGTTATTTTTAAAAAAAAATGGAACGAGAAAAGAGACTCTACTGATGAAAAAAATAAATTTTGAACGATTCTTTAGCAAATGCGACTAGTAAAAGGGACTCTACTGACGAGCAAACTGATTTCCAAGGGATTTCTGACAAATTCTAGGGAGAAAAAGGACTCTACTTACAAACAAATTGATTTTCTTACACTATTCAATAATTCTAATAAGAAAAAAGGGACTCTACTGACGAGCAAAATAATTTCCGAAGGATTTTCTTTAAAAAAATAGCAACGATAAAATGGACTCTACTGACGAGCAAACTGATTTCCAAGGAATTTCTGATAAATTCTAAAGAGAAAAAGGAGTCTACTGACAATCAAACTGATTTTCTTATGCTATTCAATAATTTCAATGAGAACAAAGGGACTCCACTGACGAGCAAACTGGTTTTTGAAAGACTCCTTAAAAATTCAAACAAAAAAGGGATTCTACTTACGAGCAAACTGTTCTTTCAAAAGTACTAAAATTCCATAAATTCCTACAAAAATCACTTGAAACGATAAAAAGGACTGTACTGACGAGCAAAATAAATTCTGAACGATTCTTTAAAAAATGTTGAAGGACTCCCTAAAAATTCAAACGAGAAAAAGGACTCTACTGACAAGCAAACTGTTCTTTCAAAAGTGCTCTTTATAAATTCTTGCAAAAATCACTTGACACGATAAAAAGGACTCTACTGACGAGCAAACTGAATTCTAAGAAATTTATGACAAATTCAAACGAGAAAAAGGACTCTACTGACAATCAAACTGATTTTCTATTCAATACGTGTAAAATGCCTGAATGCACAAATACATGTCATTTTGATAGTATTCAGTATGATTCAGTGTATTCGGAGCACAGTACAAAATTCAGAGGATACACCCTTTTTCCTCTACATTAAAAAATATGTTACCCATCAATGCAACCCTGTGCACAAGTCCTCTTGCCAAGGGCGCCAAAACCAAAGCATGTGCAAGGGCAGCGCCTTCACTTCCACACCCAAAAATAGTGACACACTTAGGATTACCGCCAAAACTTGCCGCATTCTCACGAACCCAATGCAGGACACTCAGCAAATCTTTGGCACCTATAAAAAAAAAAGAGTGCACGTAAGGATCACACGCGATTGAAGTAAAACTTATTTGCTACTGTACAAAGTAGCAAATTTAAATTAAGTGAAAATAAATACATCATGTAACAAATTTGAATGATGTTTATTAGTAATATGGTAACACTCGTGATGCACACATTTATTAGTGTTGTCAATCATTATACACATTTTGTATAATGATAAATTATGAATTATATATTTTTGATTGCATTAAAAATATGTGTAATATTTACAAACAATAATGTAATCGAGGTCATACTTGAAATATGGCACGATCGTTTTAAAGTAATTGCTGATTAATAAATTCTATAATATTCATTCACACAAGGGATTATGTTAAACAAGGGCTAAACAAATATTGTTTTTGCAAGTTCACTCATCCTGTAACAATTGTGTTTGAAGAACTTCATGTAATTAAAATTAACATACATTCATTGACTGCTTGTATTTTTTTTACTTTTTCGCTAGCGATATAATCTCATTCTTTGAACAGCTGTGATATCTGTCTTGCCTATAAACATTTTCCATTTTAATAACTTCAAATTTTTTTTAATTTAGTTTTACTCGTCAGTATAGTCCCTTTTCAATGTTATTTTTAGATTGCTCGTCGGTAGAGTCCCTTTCTCTTTATTTTTAATTTAATCATCAGTAGAGTCGCTTTGAATTTAATTTTTATTTTGCTCGTCAGTAGAGTCCCCCTCCTTTTTTCATTTTTAGTTTGCTCATCAGTAGAGTCCCTTTTTCTTTAATTTTTAGTTTGCTCGTCAGTAGAGTCCCATTTTCTTCCATTTTTAATTCAATTATTAGTAGAGTTTATTTTTCTTTTATTTTTAGTTTTGCTTGTCAGTAGAGTCCCATTTTCTTCCATTTTTAATTCAATTATCAGTAGAGTTTATTTTTCTTTTATTTTTAGTTTTGCTCGTCAGTAGAGTCCCTTTTTAATGTTATTTTTAGACTCTTCGTCAGTAGAGTCTTCCTCCCTTTTTCATTTTTAGTTTGGTCGTCAGTAGAGTCCCTTTTTCTTTAATTTTTAGTATGGTCGTCAGTAGCGTCCCTTTTTCTTCCATTTTTAATTTAATCATCAATATAATCTTTTTAAATTTTATTTGTATTTTGCTCGTCAGTAGAGTCCCTTTTTAATGTTATTTCACTTCACTCATCATGTAATAATTGTGTTTGAAGAACTTCATGCAATTAAAATTAACATACATTCATTTACTGTTTATATTTTTTTTACTTTTTCGCTGGCGATATAATCTCATTCTTTGTACAGCTGTAATATCTGTCTTGCCTAAGAAATTGAAGCCATACTTTTATAGTTGTTTTATTTATTTTTATTAATCAAAAATTTTTTTGTAAGTAGAACAAGTTCAAATAGATTTATACTTTTCGGTACTTGCTTATCAAAAATTAAGCAATTCCAATGTAAAACAATAAGAAGGGCGTTTTTATTTTTTACAAAATACAATAAAATTTTGAATTAGTTTGATCTTATGGTTATTTATTCAGTTTTTGATTTATTTTATTTTTATTTTAGTATTTTTAAAAGTATGTTTTCATTTAGTTGAGCTCATGACAATGTAATATATCTTTGTTCTGGAATTAATAGTGTCATCATCAGGCAACCCTAAAGATTCTGTTTTACCAAATCGGGTAACAATGCCACCAGGATAATTACAGACCTACTCATTCGAACGGATAAAAATAAAAATGAATTTTACATTTGTCAAAATTATAATCCAAAACATTTTTTCGAATAGAGTCATTTTTTATTATATGTCGAATTTCGGTTTGCTCGTCAGTAGAGTCCTTTTTTATATTCTACGTTCTTCTTTTTCTTATGATATCAAGGTTGCTTGTTAATAAAGTCATTTTTTATTATATGTCGAATTTCGGTTTGCTTGTCAGTCGAGTCCTTTTATTTTATATCTATTTTTTTTAGTTTGCTCGTTAGTAGAGTCCTTTCTTATTATATATCGAATTTCAGTTTGCTTGTCAGTAGAGTTCCTTTTCATCTTCTACATTTTTTTTCTTATAATGCCTTATTTTTCTTACTATGCCCTTTTATTTTTTGCCTTGTTTTTCAGTTTGCTCGTTAGTAGAGTCCTTTTTTTATTATGTATTGAATTTTGGTTTGCTCATCAGTACAATCCCTTTTTATCTTCTATGTTCTTTTTCTCATAATGTCGATACGCAATTTGCTCGTCAGTAGAGTCCTTTTATTTTATATCTGGTTTTGCAGTTTGCTCGTTAGTAGAGTCGTTTTTTACTACATATCGAATTTTGGTTTGCTCGTTAATAGAGTCCTTTTTTATTATGTATCGAATTTTGGTTTGCTCATCAGTACAATCTCTTTTTATCTTCTATGTTCTTTTTCTTATAATGTCGAGAAGCAATTTGCTCGTCAGTAGAGTCCTTTTATTTTATATCTGGTTTTCCAGTTTGCTCGTTAGTAGAGTCCTTTTTATTACATATTATATCGAATTATGGTTTTCTCGTCTGTAGAGTCCTATTTCATATTTTACATTCTTATTTATTGCACTTCAGTAGAGTCCTTTTGACATATTTTTCGTTTTAATTTTTCTCATCATGTCGAGGCTTAGTTTGCTCGTCAGTCGAGTCCTTCTACTTTATGTCTCGCTTTTTAGTTTGCTAGTTAGTATAGTCCATTTTCGGTATACTTGTCAGTGGAGTCCTTTTTTATCTTTTAAATTTTTTTATCATGCCAGGACGCAGTTTGCTCGTCAGTAGAGTCCCTTCTGTTTCAGGTTTTGCGTTTTGAGTTTGCTTGTCATATCGAATTTTGATTTGCTCGACAATAGAGTCCTTTCGACAATAGACTCAGAATTATCTTTGGTAGAGATTTTTCATTATTTTTTTAATTTAATTTTGCTTGTCAGTAGAGTCTAAAGGTCGTTTTTGAAATTACATGTTTTGTATTGTGAGATGCTTGTCAGTATAGTCTTTTTTCATAGTCTAACGTTTTGTTTAATTTGCTCGTCAGTAGAGTCCATTTCGACCTAAGAAGAAAAAATGGACTCTACTGACAAGCAAATTAAACAACCTAAACTAGATACTGTATCTTATCCTTTATCCTTACCCATATTTCCTGAATAATCAGTATTAGCCAGCGACATGTATCCCAGAACCCCACGTCGCCAACGCGGTTCCACGACAACCAGGCCCTTTTCCATCAAATAATCAGGTCCTCCTGGTGCCACAAACCCTTCGCCGTTGAGGTAATCGCCTCCGTGCAGGAATATGGCTACTGGTTGCAAATGTCTCGGCCTGGTGTTCGGCGAATGTATGTCCAGGGTGAGGCAATCTTCGCCTGAGAAGTTGTGGGAGGCGAATTTGGAGCAGTCGCGGTCGTTTCGCCATTTTGGCAAATTTCTAGTTGGCTGGGAAAGGTAAAATGATAATAAATCTTATATATAATTTTTTTTTTATTTTCATTCTGCAATCTATAAAAATAATTATATTTAGCAGAGAATGCTGACAAGTGTTTACAATGGATTGTTTACAAATTAGTAGATACGCCCAGTGGTGTATCTACTATAGTTAATATATAAAAAAGAAAAAACTAAAGACAAATAAAGAGAATATATATATATATATATATATAAACTAAAATAATATTATTAGATCTCGAGGTATTTTCTTATTAATCTTATATATAAAAATGAATCGCAAAATGTGTTTTGGTAAGCGCATAACTCAACAACGCCTGAACCGATTTGGCCAATAATTTTTTTAAAATGTTGGTTGAAGTCCAAGAATGGTTGATCCTTTTTCGTCAGTAGAGTTCTTTTTTGTATATTTTGGCTTTTGCTCGTCAGTAGAGTCCCTTTTTGTATATTTTAGTTAATGCTCGTCAGTAGAGTCCTTTTTTGTATATTTTAGCTTTTGCTCGTCAGTAGAGTCCTTTTATTAATTTTCTATCCTTTGCTCGGCAGTAGAGTCCCTTTTTATTAATTTTCTATCCTTTGCTCGTCAGTAGAGTCCCTTTTTGTATATTTTAGCTTTTGCTCGTCAGTAGAGTCCCTTTTTGTATTTTTTAGTTATTGCTCGTCAGTAGAGTCCCTTTTTAATAATTTTCAATACTTTTGCTCGTCAGTAGAGTCCCTTTTTGTATATTTTAGCTTTTGCTCGTCAATAAAGTCCCTTTTTAATAACTTTCTATACTTTTGCTCGTCAGTAGAGTCCCTTTTTAATAATTTTCTATACTTTTGCTCGTCAGTAGAGTCCCTTCATTAATTTTCTATTTGTTTGCTCGTCAGTAGAGTCCTTTTATTAATTTCTATCCTTTGCTAGTCAGTAGAGTCCCTTTTTAATAATTTTCTATACTTTTGTTCGTCAGTAGAGTCCCTTTTTAATAACTTTCTATACTTTTGCTCGTCAGTAGAGTCCCTTTTTAATAATTTTCTATACTTTTGCTCGTCAGTAGAGTCCCTTCATTAATTTTCTATTTGTTTGCTCGTCAGTAGAGTCCTTTTATTAATTTCTATCCTTTGCTAGTCAGTAGAGTCCCTTTTTAATAATTTTCTATACTTTTGCTCGTCAGTAGAGTCCTTTTATTAATTTTCTATCCTTTGCTCGGCAGTGGAAGTCCCTTTTTGTATATTTTAGCTTTTGCTCGTCAGTAGAGTCCCTTTTTAATAATTTTTTATCCTTTGCTCGCCTGGACGAATTTGACCAATTCTTTTTTTAAAATGTTCGTTGAAGTTCAAAGATGGTTCTTACGGCGGGAAAAAATCGCATAATTTCCGGGAAAACCCCTAAAAACAACCCTTTTCTTTTTCTCATACAAACGTTTTCTAACTAAAACGTAGAATCAATTTGAGCTTTACTGCTAAAAGTTCATATTAACACTGTTATTCCTCCTAAACGATTATGCGGATTTGGATAAATCTTTCTGAAGTTTGTCAAGGAAATTTTCTAAGATGTATGTGATTATAAAGTACTGGGATGTATGTGCAATATTGTAGAAATGAATGGAAAAAATTTAAAAAACGACATGTCATTGTTTGCATTAAATCATCTGCCAAAAATACTTACTTTGAACCTTAGCGATCCGGTTGGGGATTCCGTGTAGGGTATTCCGAAAAAGCTGAAGAATTTTCCCTTGGTGGTTGGTCTGTCCAAAGTGGCCCCTACTACAAATCCTTGTCGAATGCGAACCCTCGAGTAATCCCATGGAGCTAACTGATTCTGAAAATAATAAAAGAAATAATAGCATTGTCATGGCAACGCTATCTTATGCTTGTTTTTTGTTAGTGAAACTGTGAAAATGTCTAACTATTTGTCGTGCGATCAGGCAGGCGTATTTTACATATAAAAAAGCAAGGAGAAATGTTATGATAACAAAATCTTCGATGATGCAGTTATCATAACAAATACAAATATCAACTAGTGGTGTACGGCATCGTGCCTTAAGGCAAATTGCTGGAACTTACCGTACCGTAATGAAATATTCGAGAAATTTTAAACGTTTTCAATTATATTATTACAAATACTGTAACTTTCATTATTTTTGCTATCCTGTTATATCTGAGCAAATCAAATGTGAATCATAAATCAATTTATCATCTCCAGAAAATTAACAATCGTCATTTCATTTCGAATTCAATTAAAAAAAAAAAAATAGTTGCCCAAATTGCACAAAATGGAAAAAGTGCTCCCGCGTAGTCACAGTCTAAACGCATTTGCAAATAATTCTGTGCAACATTTTCACTTATACTGTGCTTAGCTTGGCGGCATTTTCACATTTTTCAATAGTTTTTTCACAAAATTTATAAAAACGCTCCCGCATAGTCACAACTAAACGCACTTGCAAAAAAATTTGTACCAGAGTGGCGCTTAGACTGTGCTTAGCATGGGTAATTTTTTATTTGAATTTTTAATCCAAAATTACAAAAATATTTTATGAAAAATAAATAAGATGTAATAATTTTATATATATATATGCATTATTTTTATTGCATATATAAATCACTTGAAACAGGTGTTTTAGATTTTTTTAAATATACGTATATATATATATATATATATATATATATATATATATAAAGAGCAATTTTTGAGCTAATTTCTTCCAAAAGTCATTGATCTCTGATCCTCAACATGTGATTATTACTTTGCTCGTCAGTAGTGTTCCTTTTCTAAGAGTCCAAATGCAGCAAATGTTTCAGGTTTTTATTTACAATTTCCAAAGTCTTAATTTGATCGTCAGTAGAGTTTTATTTTTGTCTTTTAGGTCGATATTTAATTTGCTCGTCAATTTTTACCACTTAGGCCAGTCGAGTTCTTTTTTATTCTCCATGTCGATATTTCTTTGCTCGTCAGTAGAGTCCTTTTGCCATCTATTTTTATATCCAATTTAATTGTCAGTAGAGTACTTTACCTAAATTTAGGTTAAAATTTAATTAGCTAATTAGTAGAGTCCTTTTTTATCTTTTGTCTATATTTAATTTGCTCGTCAGTAAAGACTTTTCTTCATCGTCTAAGTTGATATTCAATTTGCTCATCAGTAGAGTCCTTATTTTGTTTTCTAAGTTTTAATTATAATTTGGTTGTCAGCAGAGTCCTTTCTTCATCCTCTATGATTATATTTAATTTGCTCGTCAGTAGAGTAAAATGTAAATCATAAATCAATTTATCTCCAGAACAATCGTCATTTCATTTCGAATACAATTTCAAAAAAAAATATTGTTGCCTAATTTTCACAAAATTGGAAAAGTGCTCCCTTCTAGTCACAGTCTAAACAGCATTTGTAAATAATTCTGTGCGGTGTTTTCATTTATACTGTGCTTGGCTTGGCGGCATTTTCACATTTTTCAATAGTCCAAAATTGGAAAAGCGCTCCGGTACGTAAGCAGTCTAAACGCACTTGGGTAAACATTTGTACCAGAGTGGCGCTTAGACTGTGCTTAGCTTGGGTAATTTTGTGAGTTTTTAACAGTTTCATTATCAAATTGTCTAAATTATCTTACCGAGCGTAAAACTTGTTTCGCCAACTGCGCCACCTTTTGCTGTTGCCGCATTTTTATGCCCCCCAAAAAAATAATAAATACAAAAACAGAAATTTAAAAATAATTTAAAAAATTTAAAAATTTTGATATTTATGTCATCGCAAAAAAAACAAAACAAAAAACCCAATTCACTTTGTTCAGATTTAGATTGCTTGATCCATAGATAAAATGTGAGTGATATTTTTTATCTTTGGAGAAAAGGGACTCTACTGACGAGCAAAGTAATATCTGAAAAAATTATTAATAAATGCAGTAAGGAAAGGGATTCTACGGACAAACAAACTGATTTTCCCTAAAAAGTGCAAAAAATGGACTCTACTCATGGAAAAATGATTTCCAAACGACTTTCTACAAATTTCAACGATAAAAAGGACTCTACTGACGAGCAAAATAATTTTCGAACGACTCCCTAAAATGTAAAGGGACAAACAATGTGATTCAGAAAAGTGTCTTGTAAATTTTAACTAGAAAAGTGACAAATAAAATAATTTTTAACAATGTCTTGAGAAATGCAACGATAGAAAGGACTCTACTGACGATCAAAATTTTTTCTTCAAAAATGCAGCAAGAAAAGGAACTTTACTGACGAGCAAAATGATTACTAAACGATTTTCTACAAATTCCACCGATAAAAAGGACTCTACTGGCGAGTAAAATAATTTCCGAACGACTTCTTGAAAAATGCAACATGAAAAGGGACTCTATTGTCGACCAAAAATTTTGTTCAAAAATGAAACAAGAGAAGGGACTCTACTGACGAGCAAAAAATTTTTTGAAGGACTCCCAGCAAATTTAAACAAGAAAATGGGCTCTACTGACGAGCAAACAGTTCTTTCAAAAGCACTCTTCAATATTTACTCTTAAAATATTTCGAAAGACTGCCTAAAAATTCAAACGAGTAAAAAGGACCAAACTATTCTTTTAAAAGTACTCTTCATAAATTTCCATGAAAATCACTTGAAACCATAAAAAGGACTCTACTGACAAGCAAAATAACTCCTGAACGATTCCTTGAACAATGCAACGAGAAAAAGGACTCTACTGACGAGTAAAACAAATTCTGAAAGATTCTTTAATCAAATGCAACGAGAAAAGAGACTCTACTGACGAGCAAATAAACTTCTGAACGATTCCTTGAACGATGCAACCAGAAAAGGGACTCTACTGACGAGCAAACTGATCTCCAAGGGATTTCTGACAAATTCTAAGGAGAAAAGGGACTCTACTGACTAACAAACACTATTCTTACACTTGTAAGACAATTTTCTTACACTGTTCAATAATTCCAATGAGAAAAAAGTGACTCTACTGACGAGCAAATTAAACAAGAGATTTTAAAGAATGATATATATATATATATATATATATATATACATATATAAAGTATAAATTCATTAAAAGTATGTCAACATGCAATTTGCCTTCAAATTTCAAAGACAATTTGCTGGACGTGCCGTCACGTCAAAGTACGTGACGTGAACTTTAAAAATTTTCATTTTATTTTAAACAAAATTCAAAGTGTTTTTTGTCATAACGCACTTGACAAGTGCAGAATAAACATTGGAAAAAAATAATAAAAATAATAATAATAATAATAATAACACTTGATGAATTATGATACATGAAAGTAATAATTATTATGAAAAAAAAATTAATTTGATAAATAAATAGTAAAGAGTGTGAATAAATATTTGAATAATTAAATAAATATTTTAAATAAAAAAATAATTGAGAATTAAAATAATAATAACACTTGCTGAATTAAATACATGAAAGTAATAATTATTATAATAGAAAATTAATGTATAAATAAAAATTCTTAAACAATTAAACAAATATATTAATTATTAAATAAATTAATAAATAGCAGGTAATAAATTAATTAATTAAAAAACAAACAAAAGGACAAATGTTTGAACAAATAAATTGAAAAACAAATATATAAGTATAAATAAAATAAATATAAATTAAATAAATATAAATGAAAAATAAAATAATTAAATTAAAGTTAAAATAAATAAATAACTAAATTAATTAATAAAAAAATAAATAAACAAATATATCTGATGAATAAGTATATGTGAATAATATTATAATTAAATTACTTTAATAATTAATTTAAAAAAATGAAGTTAAAATTCTTATTAATATTTGTACTGAGTGCAAGTTTAAAATGTGCTTCATGTTTATTAGATGAACAGGTAATATATATATATATATATATATATATATATATATATAAAATTTAATTGTTTCTAATTGAATTGCGGACTGTCTAAATGTTAATATTAAGAGCTAAAACTTTTAGAGGATTTTCTTTTATTACTTTGAAAGCATTTGAGATCTAAGAGCAAAGAAAATTAAAAATCAGGGTGGTCCTTAAAATGGACATTTAGGAATTTTTGCTCCCAAAGTCTCAAACGCTTCCAAATAAATTAAAAAAAAATTCTCTGAAAGTTTTAGATCTTAATATTAACATTTAGATAGTCCGCAATTCAATTAAAAGTTTCTTATATTCATTATTAACATATGTCATTAAGTAAATGCTTGCGCCATCTATTATGACACTTAAAAATATTTATAACACACTTAACCTCTAATTAAATCCATGTGGACTGTTTAACGAAATATTTATTCAAGATTAATTTTGCATCAAAATATTTATTTAATTGTTGATTTTGACACTCAAAATTATCAGTAAAAAATTGCCATCAAAATTACAAGTCTGCTATCACATATGGCGCAAGAATATACGGTAATAATAAATATACAATCCTTCGGAAATTATTTTGCTCGTCAGTAGAGTCCCTTTTTTCTCATTGGATTTATTGAATAGTGTAAGAAAATCAGTTTGATTGTCAGTAGATCCCTTTTTCTTCTTAGAATTTATCAGAAATTCCTTGGAAATCAGTTTGCTCGTCAGTAGAGTTCTTTTTTTATTGTATTTGTCAAGGAATCATTCAGGAGTTATTTTGCTCGTCAGTAGAGTCCCTTTATTTTCATTGGATTTATCGAATAGTGTAAGAAAATCAGTTCGATTGTCAGTAGAGTCCTTTTCCTCCTTAAAATTTGTCAGAAATACCTTGGAAATCATTTTTCCCGTCAGTAGAGTCCTTTTTTCTTATTGGAATTATTAAAAAGTGTGCGAACATCATTTGTCTTATTAGTAGAGTCCCTTTTTATATCGACTTTTCAGGGAAGTTCTTCAAAAATTAAATTGCTCATCAGTACAGTCCCTTTTCTTGTTTCATTTTTTAAAGAATCGATCAGTTATCATTTTGCTCGTCAGTAGAGTCCTTTTTTCTTATTGGAATTATTAAAAAAGTGTGCAAAAATCAGTTTTCTTGTCAATAGAGTCCTTTTTTTATATCGACTTTTCAGGAAAGTTTTTCCAAAATTAAATTGCTCATTAGTAGAGTCTCTTATTTCGTTGTATTTATTTTTGTAGTAAATATAATTCTGAAATTATTTTTGTAGTAATTTGTAAGAAGTCGTTTGAAAATCATTTTGCTCGTTAGTAGAATCCCTATTTCCTATAGATAAATAAACATTTTACTGACGAGCAAAACTAAAAATAAAATAAAAATAAACTCTACTGACAACCAAACTAAAAATGAAAAATGGAAGGGGACTCTACTGACGAGCAAAACTAAAAATAAAAGAAAAATAAACGCAACTGATAAATTAAAAATGGAACAAAATGGGACTCTACTGACGACCAAACTAAAAATGAAAAAGAGAGGGGACTCTACTGACGAGTAAAACTAAAAATAAAATCAAAAATAGACATAAAATCAATAAATGTATGTTAATTTTAATTACATGAAGTTCTTCAAACACAATTATTACATGATCAGTAAACAATATTTGTTTAGGCATTGTTTAACATATTATAGAATTTATTAATCAGCATTTACTTCATTTCTCTAATAAAGGTTCAAGTCGTAAATGCTAATTACAATGACAAACCGATCATGTCATATTTGAAGTACGACTTTAATTACATTGTTGTTTTTGAATAGTATATATATTTTTAATGCTATTATAAATATAAAATTTATAATTTAACATTATATAAATGCGTATAATGGTTCATGACACTAATAAATGTGTGCATCACGAGTGTTACCTACCATATTGCTAATAAACATTATTCAAAATTGTTATATGATGTATTTATTTTCTCCTAAATGCCATCATATAAATAAGTTTAGAATAAATAAATTAATAATTAATAAATAAATAATAAAATAATAAATAAATAATTATTAAAATAGCTAATAGTTAATTAAATTATATTAAATCTGCAAAATATTGACTTGAGCCTTATTATAATTTCTACTGGACAGATAGGCTCATATAGTGACAGCACGGAGGAAACAAAATAAATTCAAGTGTCAATTCGGATCTCGCTTTTGTTTCTCCCTAGTCGAATTTGCCAAAATTTATAATTCTTGAAACCTTTCTTTTCGATTGTAAATACAAAAATACCAACTACATTTTATAAACGATCAATATAATAGTACAGTAGCAAATAACTTCTACTTTAACCTTACGCGCACTCTTTTTTTTCAGATACTAATCCGCTACGCCTCCAACCACCAACACCAAACAACCCCAAACCCTTTACTTCTAAAATACAACCACCACCAACCACCAACCCCAACCCCATTATCAGTAGACCAAGACCAATTTACCCCATCGATTTACCCTCCTCCGGCGAATAATTCGGAGCCCATTTCAGATTGGGCGATAGGAATAATCAGCATAATTTTCCTGCTGATTATAATGAGCCTTCTTGCGATGTCTGTCACGATGCCTATTTCTATCAATACGGTAAATACTGGTCCTCAGGAAGTTCCAGCAGAAATTGGACGAGTTGGGGATACTTTTGCGATAGAAGTCCAGGATGATGAGAAGAGGATTTGTGGGAAGAGCTTGAGGAATTTGAAGGGATCTGCTATGTCCATCGAGGCGCTTGTTACAGATGTTATAAGGGTTTGAAGGGTGATTTTGTAAGGGATGAGAATTTAATAAATTGTATAAAAGTTTTGATTTTGTTTGATTTGTAAAAAATATGTATAAGTGAATTCCCTGGCGCATAACACTCATGGCAATGCTTCGTGGTATGAAAATGTCTATTGGCGTATTTTACATATACGAGTAAACAAGCAAGAAAGAATGTTATAATAACTATACCAACCAAGATTATGTTATCATAGCATTATTCGGTACTTGATAATAATAATAATAATATAGGACACTTAAATTTGTTAAAATATCATAAAACTAGTGGTGTATAGCATCGTGCTTCAAGACAAATTGCTGGAACTTCCCGTACCGTAATGAAATATTCGAGAAATTTTAAAAGTTTTCAAATGTATTATTACAAATACTGTAACTTTCATTATTTTTGCTATCTTGTTATATCTAAGAACATTAACAATCGTCATTTCATTTCGAATTCAATTTAAAAAAAAATACTTGCCTAATTTGCACAAAATTGGAAAAGTGCTCCTGTATAGTCACAGTCTAAACACATTTGCAAATAATTCTGTGCGACATTTTCACTTAAACTGTGCTTAGCTTGGCGGCATTTTCACATTTTTCAATAGTTTTCTTTTTCTTTCACAAAATTGGAAAAGTGCTCCAATACATGAACAGTCTAAACGCACTTGGGTAAACATTTGCACCAGAGTGGCGCTCAGACTGTGCTTAGCCTGAGTGATTTTTTAAATTTTTAATCCAAAATTACAAAAATATTTTATGGAAAATAAAAAAAAGTAATAATACAATACACCGTCAATACGTATTGAATGTGCTTTGAATCATTCAAATCGGTTGAGCCGTTCTGTAGAAAATGTCAAGAAACCATTTAAATGTGCATAATAAATATATTATTTTCTTACAATTTTAGCTTTGTATCTCCAAAACTAGCCGGACCTGCTTTATCCAACAACTCACAAACGCTTCACACTGTCGATACGTATCGAATGTGTTTTGAATCAATCAAATCGGTTGAGCCGTTCATTAGAAAATATCAATAAACCATTTGGACGTGCATAAAGAATATATTATCACTCAGCAGCTTTTGCGCTCGATCTCCGAAACTAACTAGACCTACTTTTTCTAAAAACTCACAAATACTTCACACCCTCAATACATATTGAATGTTTTTTTAAATAATTCAAATCGGTTGAGCCGTTCTTCAGAAAATGTCAGGAAACCATTTCGACGTGCCTAATGAATATGTTACTATTTTGCAGTTTTTGCGCTCAATCTCCAAAACTAGCTGGACCTGCTTTATCCAAAAACTCACTAACACTTCATGCCGTCAATACGTATCGAATGTGTTTTGAATCATTCAAATCGGTTCAGCTGTTGTCCAATAAAACACCTGCAAAACAATTTAAACGTGCTTGAACAATACAATATTTTTTCGCAGTTATAGCTTTATATCTCCGAAACCGTTAGACCTGCCTTACCTAAAAACTACCAATCTAATTACACTGTTCATGCCAAATGATTGGTTTTTTTAATAATTAAAATCGGTTCAGCCGTTGTCCTAAAAAACACCTGCAAACAATTTAAACGTGCATGGGTCAATACATAATTTTGTCGCAGTTTTAGCTTTGTATCTCCAAAACCGCTGGACCTGCTTTTTCCAAAATCTCACAACCTACTAACGCTGTTCATACCAACCGAATGTTTTTTGAATCACTCAAATCGGTTGAGCCGTTCTTTAAAAAAACACCTGCAAACAATTTAAATGTGCATGAACAATACATTATTTTGTTCGCTTTTTGAATCATTCAAATCGGTTCAGCCGTTCTCCAGAAAATGATCAGGAAGTCCGGACACGTCTTCCGGACACAAAAAACTATTATTTATATAGATATTGTTTTATTCGGATTTAAATAAATAATTTGTTTACAAAATTTTAAATAAAAGTGCGATGATTCAGTCGAGTCCCTTTTACCAAGCTGGAGCAGGTCCGTAGGCAACTGTTTTGACTGCTGGAGCAGCATAGGTTTGTACATGAGCTGGAGCATAAGCGCTGACTACTGGAGCAGAAGAATAAACAGCTGGAGCAGAAGAATAAACAGCTGGAGCAGCAAAAGTCTTTAAAGCTGGAGCAGCGAAAGTTTTCAAAGCTGGAGCAGCGTATGTGTGGACAGCTGGAGCAGCATAAGTTTGTACTACTGGAGCAGAGTGAGCAACAACAGCTGGATCAGCATATTTGTGTACTGCTGGAGCAGAGTGTGCTACAACTGCTGGAGCAGAGTGAGCTACAACTGCTGGAGCAGAGTGTGCTACAACTGCTGGAGCAGAGTGTGTTACTACTGCTGGAGCAGCATATTTGTGTACAACTGGAGTGGAGTGCACAGTCGAAGAGTAGCTGCTCGATACAGATGGAGCAGAAGCGTAGACAGTCTTGGCGACTGCTGGAGCAGCATAGCTCACATGAGCTGGAGCATAAGAAGCTACAGTTTTCAAAGCAGGAGCGGCATAGGTGTGGACAGCTGGCGCAGCATAAGATTGCACTACTGGAGCAGCATAGGATTGTACTACTGGAGCAGCATAAGATTGTACTACTGGAGCAGAGTGTGCAACTACAGCTGGAGCAGAATGAGCGACAACAGCTGGAGCAGCAGCGTAAGCATGTACTGCTGATCCTGAGTGAACTGTGTAGCTGCTTGAGACTGATTTAGAGACAGTAGGTACGGCTAGGGTTTTCAAAGCTGGAGCAGCATAAGTGTGGACTGCTGGAGCAGCGTAGGTGTGAACTGCTGGAGCAGCATAAGTTTGTACAACTGGAGCTGAGTGAGCTACTACAGCTGGAGCAGCGTATGTGTGAACAGCTGGAGCAGTAGCATAAGCTACTGGAGCAGGAGCTTCGAGCACACCAGCGCTTGCAACGGCAAGAGCGGCAGCGAAAAGAACTACAACCTGAAGAGAAAATTTTTGGTGCATTTATTTACTAAATCCGTTGTAACTTTTAAACTATTTATCCGATTTAAATGAAATATTCAGCAAATTTATTCAAAATTGAATTGTCTATAATTTTGTAGTATACTATAGTGCCCTAGAGCAACTCCGTATACTTTAAAATCGCCATTGAAAATAGAATTATGTTTATTACCAGTTGGCCGCGAAAAGAACTACAACCTACACAAAAATTTTGTGGATTTATTTACTAAATCCGTTGTAACTTTTAAACTATTTATCCGATTCAAATGAAATATTCAGCAAATTTGTACTAAATTAAATTGTCTACAACATTGTGTAATATTATAGAGCCCTAAAGCAACTCCGTATACTTTAAAATCGCCATTGAAAATTATAATTAATGCCAGTTGTATTGACAGTGCATTTGTTAAATGCATCTCTTGTAACTTCTGAACAATTCGATTAATATTGATGGTGCGTTTAGAAAATTTGTGCAAAATTTAAGTATTTATAAAGTTGTCAAATATTGTAGGACCTTATGGCAACTCGGTATACTTCAAAATTAATATTGAAATTAGAAATTTATTCGAGGCACACAGAAAATTTGTCATTTATATCGTTTATATATTTTAAACCGTTTAATGGACATAAATGATGTGTATAAGAAATTTGTTCAGAATTGAATTATCTATAATATTGTCTAACATCAAAATGACCTACATCAACTTGGTATACTTTAAAATCGCTTCGGAATATAGACAGTCTATGCTAAGAGTACTAATATAAATATATATCCTTTATCATTCATTGCTTATATCCTTTATAAATCTTAAACCGTTCGATGAGTACAAATGATGTGTATAAGAAATTTGTTCAGAATTAAATTATCTACAATATTGTCTAACATCATAATGACCTATAACAACTCGGTGTACTTTAAAATCGTAATGAAATCTAAAACTATATATAAACTATAATATTGATTCCTCGTATTAACACTGGATGTCACGACTAATTCACTAGCAAATACACAAACCACTTAACTTACAATTCAAACAAGACCAAACAAATGCAAATTATTATTAATTTAATAATAATAATAATAATAATAATTATTATTATTATTATTAATAATTATTATTATTAATTTTACCTTAAAAGCCATTTCGAATTGTTCTGAATAATTGAAACTGATCGAATGATAAAATCAATTTGATCGTATCGATATATATACTAATTTTTTTTTTTGGCGAAAATAAATTTGGCGAATCTGTCTTTAAGTAAAAAAAAACAAGAGTGGGCAAGAAATTTGCATTTTGCACTTTTAATAGTAGTCAAACTAGATCGCTAAATGCATTTGTTCTAGTCTAAATGGGTTAATAGACTCTTGGTGATTATATATATATATATATATATATATATATATATATATATGTATACATATATATTACCATTCATCCAATTTGGTGAATATTTCATTTAAATCAAATAAATAGTTTGAAAGTTACAACGGATATAGTAAATAGATGCACGAAACGTTTTTGTTCAGGTTATAGTTCTTTCATTTCTTCATTTCTATAGACGGATGTATATGTGTGCGGATACAAATTTTTGTCCACGATTTCAGGTCCACGGAGAAACCGATTTGAGTGATTCAAAAAACATTTGATTCCTATTGATGATTAGTTTTTGGCAAAAGCAGATTCAGCCATTACGGAGATACGGAGCAAAGAGTGCGGAAAATAGAAATCGAGTTTTTGAGAGAACTGAGTATCCGATTTGAATGATTCAAAAAACATTTTGCTTGTATTAATGTAATGAAGAATTTATCAGGTTTTTGCCAAAGGCAGCTCTAGCGGTTTTAAATATCCAGGAAAAAAAGTAAAAAAAATACCATTTGGCGGTTGGAAATAAGTTTAATAAATAGTTTTAGGGTTTGTTTAGATTTTTTTTGAGTTTTTTATAGAAATTTCAGAGTTTCTTTAGAATTTTCAGAGTCTCTTTAGAATTTTCAGAGTCTCTTTTTACTTCAGAATTTTTACTTCAGAATTTTCAATTCAGAATTGTTACTTTAGATTTTTCACTTTAGAACTTTTACTTTAGAATTTTCACTTTGGAATTTTCACTTTAGAATTTTCACTTTACAATTTTTACTTCAGAAAACACTTCAAAATTTTCACTTTAATATTTTCACTTTAGAAAACAGTTTAAAATTTTCACTTTAGAATTTTCACTGTAGAAAACACTTCCAAATTTTCACTTTAGAATTTTCACTTTAGAAAACACTTTAGAATTTTTACTTTATAATTTTCACTTTAATATTTTCACTTTAGAATAATCACTTTAGAATTTTCAGAGTCTCTTCAGAATTTTTAGAGTCTCTTCAGAATTTTCTGAGTTTCTTTAGAATTTTCTTTCAACTTTCGAAAAAAAAATTATTTAATTTCTAAGTTTACGAATAATTTATAAACTTAAAAATAATTTTCAAAGAAAGCAACTTATCAATTTTTTTTTCAAAAATCAAATATTTCAAATGTTTTCAAAATGTTTGAAAAAAAAAATCAAAATTATCAAATAAAATCTAATTTGTCTTTCCTTTTGAATATTTTAAATTGCGGTACGTACGGAAAGTTGTCTTAAGGCACGATACCATGCACTACTAGTTATTGAAAATTATGGTTCCAATTTTAGGATAAAATCAAAATAGCAAATAAATATCGTTCAGACAATCTGTTACTACCAACTCATACGAATATAGACCCGTAACATAGCATTACCACAAATTCCTATTTCATCCGAGATTTTTTTTTTTAATTTTATTTTCATTCTGCAATCTATAAAAATAATTATATTTAGCAGAGAATGCTGACAAGTGTTTACAATTGATTGTTTACAAATTAGTAGATACGCCCAGTGGCGAATTGACTCCACAATTATCTTTTCCTTCAAGCCGTACATGACCACCAGCTCTCTGTCTATCTACCTTACTCCGACAAGATCTCTCATAATAAAATTCAACAATCAACATTTAGCATTAAGATAGATCTGGATCTAGTTTTTTATTTCATCTAAATGTTCGTTTGTCTGTCACTTTATGGTAATCGGAAACGGCGGTGCCGTTGCCACCGCCCGAAATTATCCAAAATGGTAATTGACCGACTGAATGGCGGTTTCACTTTCATTTCGAACCAGTTCTAGTTTTTTGTTTAGTTTGAATATGTGATTGACAGGTTTAAAAAAATAGTTAATAGTGGATAAGCCTGTTTTTTTTTAACATACAATATTTAATTATTTATTTATTTATTTATTTATTAATAAGCAAGCCGTAATCAATAATAATAGATATTATTTCAGGCTCTTGTCAAGAATAAGATAAGAGAGCGATGTATGTTGAGTGCGTTCGAAGGTAAGTTATGTTATCCACTTAGTTTATTTCTTTAGTTTGCGGATTTGTTTATGGAAAACAAAATTAATTGTTTAATAATGCCTATATTTTTTTGTAAATATTGCATAAGTTTGTAATTATTGACGCGAGACTTTTAAGGGAGGACGGGGGCTGTTTGACAGAAAAATTACGTTTTGAAGAAAGATCTAGTAAGATATCAAGTATATATATTTTTTATCCAAATTTCCGGAAAAAACAAAAAAATTACTTTTTTTCGTAAATTCGTTCGGAAAAGTTTAAGTAACTAAAAATACACGTGATGTTTGGAGGGGTAGATGGATAATTCTACATATTACGACGTATCACCAAGAAGGAGGAGACCCAAAAATCCCAAAAAAAAACCTTTAAAAATCGAAAAGTGTCTAAAAATCCTTTAAAAATAAACGCTAAATTTTTGAAAATTTAAAAAAATGTATAAAATTATTTTTTTCATTTTTAATTAATTTTGAAGTATTCAAATTTTTTTCAAAGTTAGTTATTTGAAATTTGAAATTTTTAAAATTAATTCTAATATATTCTTCAATATGTTAAATTTGGCGTTTGGATTTTTTTTACATTTTTTTAATTATAAATTTTCAATGATTTTTTTTCTTGTTTTCATTATTTTAAATCATAATGTAATTTTAAAAAATTAGAAAAATCATTATAATATATCATTTCACTTTAAAAAATTCATCATTTTTTTTTTAATTTGAGTTTTGACATTTTTTGAAAATACAACGGTTTGTCTTATATTCAAATTTTTAAAATATTTTTAAATTATTAATTATTATTTAATATATTATAAGAATAATTTTTAATTATTTGCAATTGAAAATGTAATTTTTATTTATCGTTTTTTTAAATAGAAAAACTATTATAAATAGAACTTTTCATTCCTTACTTAAAAAAATCATAATTTAAAAAAAAATGAGTTATGAAATTTTTGAAAATTGAAAATTTTGTTTAGAATTCTAATTTTTAAATTTAGGAATTCATTTCCAATTATTTTAAATCAAAATGTAATTTTTATTTATCGTTTTTAAAAATTAGAAAGTTTTACTTAGAAAAATTAATTGTTTAATTATAAATTTGGATTTTGAAATTTTTACAATTTTTGAAAACTTGAGCTGTTTTCAAAATATTTTGACATTTAGGTATTTATTTTGAATTAGTTTAAATCTAATTGCAATTTTTATTTAATGTTTTTCAAAAAATAGAAAAATCCCTTCTTATTGAACAAAAAATACATAATTTTTAAAAATTTGAATTTAGAAATTTTTACAATTTTCAAATAGTTTTAAAATATCTTTAAATTTAGGAGTTTATTTTTAATTATTTTTAATTTAAATGTAATTTTCATTTATTGTTTTTTTTTTAAAAAAAAAAAAAGTAAAATTTGATATATTATATATAAAACTTTCATACCTTCTTAAAAAATGCATCATTTTTAAAAAGTTAGAATTTAGACATTTTCACAGTTTTTGAAAATTTCAGAATTAGTTTCATATTCAAATTTTTAAATTTAGGAATATATTTTCAATAGATAATAAAAATAAGAAATACTCCAATGAAAGACATCAAAAAACAATAACTTTCTGCAAGTTGCCGCTAAAAGTGGCCAATTCCACAAAAAAAGGATCTTATGCTTGTTTCTTGTAAGTGAAACTGTGAAAAACATTTTACATATAACCAAGCAAAGAAGAATTGTTATGATAACTGCATTATCAAAGATTTCTTCCTTGATTGTTCATATGTAAAATACGACTGATCATAAAGCAGACTTTTCCACATATTCACTAACGAGAAACAAGCCTAAGATAGCGTTGCCATGACAATGCTATTTTATGAGCCAGAATTTTCCGGTAAAACAGAAAAAAAATTGGCATTAGTTTTTTTGTAATTACATTACAAAAATAGTTACCAAAGAATGATAACTTTACCCAATGTGTCCAAATTCCACAAAAATATTTTGGCACCAATTATGTAAAACAAATCGATTCCACAATAACAACAAATATTTTTTTATAATTTTATTTAAAATGATTTGTCGTAACTAACAATAAATAGATATATCTCTATATGAAAACTTGTTGATCCTCAATAATGATGGCACCGTCGCAATCATCCTGCTCTTGCTCCTTTACAACTGTTCACCAGTTGTATTGGGCGTGGGCGCCGTGGAAAGTGGAGTGAGACACGGCTGCTGCAGGGCTGTAGGCGACGGCGGTCTTCACAACTGGAGCAGAGTAATGGACAGCTGGGGAGGAAACTACTGTCTTGGCTACAGCAGCTGGAGCAGCGTAATGGACAGCTGGGGGGGCGACTAGAGCCTTGGTTACAGCTGGAGCAGCGTAATGGACAGCTGGAGCAGCATAATGGACAGCTGGAGCTTGGTGAGATACCACAGTCTTAGCAACTGCTGGAGCAGCGTAGGTTTGGGCGTAATGGACAGCTGGAGCTTGGTGAGATACCACAGTCTTGGTTACAGCTGGAGCAGCATAAGTTTGGGCGTAGTGTACAGCTGGAGCAGCATGCACAGTCTTGGTTACAACTTGTGGAGCTTGAGCATACACAGTCTTAGAGTGTACTTCTACAGCTGGAGCAGCATGAGCGTAGGCAACTGGAGCAGGTTGGGCGTAAGCTACTGGAGCGGGTTGAGCATAGTGGACAGCCTTGGCTACGACTGGGGCAGCTTGAGCATAAGCTACTGGAGCAGGTTGGGCGTAGTGTACAGCTGGAGCAGCATGTACTTCCTTAACAACTGGAGCTTGAGCGTAGACAGTTTTGGTTACTGGAGCAGGATGTACAGCATGGGAGTAGCTTGAGGAAACAGCTGCTGCTGATGAGTACTTGGTTACGACTGGAGCAGCGTGCAATTCCTTGGTAACTACAGCTGGTTGAGCATAAGCTACTGGAGCAGGCTGGGCATAATGTACAGCAGGTTGTTGGTAATGGACAGTCTTGGCAACAACTGGAGCAGCATGTACTTCCTTAGCAACTACAGCTGGTTGAGCATATTGTACTTGTTGTTGAACATATTGTGGTTGAGCATAAGCTACTGGAGCAGGTTGAGCATAATGTACAGCAGGTTGGGCGTAATGTACAGCTGGAGCAGCAGCATAAGTCTGCACCTCCTTGTGTACAACTGGAGCTGGTTGGGATGTATAAACTGTGGATACAGATGGAGCTGAAGAGTAGACTGTTTTGGAGTGGACAGCTACTGGAGCAGCATGATGTACTGGAGCAGCAGCATAGGCAGCCACTGGAGCAGGATGTTCGAGCACACCAGCACTTGCAAAAGCAAGAGTGGCTGCGAGGACGATGAACTAAAAAATAAGCAACTTCTACATTTTGCGTCCAAATTAAATGATGTTTTCGACAAATTTATATAAAATTGAATTATCTACAATACTGTCTAACATTATGAGTACCTACAACAATTCGGTATACTTTAAAATCGTATTTAAAATGGACAATTAACAGAATCAAATTCTGACTACATTTTCTTATTGTAATTAGAGCAACTTCTACATTTTACGTCCAAATTAAATGATGTTTTCGACAAAATTGTATAAAATTAAATTATCTACAATGCTGTCTAACATTATCAATACCTACAACAACTCGGTATACTTTAAAATCGTATTTAAAAATAGACAATTAACAAAACAAATGACAAAGGAATTCTGACTACATTTTCTTATTGTAGAGACAGAGAGAGAGCATTTTACATTACATTACATTTTCTTATTGTATTTAGAGCGACTTCTACAATTTGTGTCCAAATTAAATGGTGTCTTCGACAAATTTATATAAAATTAAATTATCTACAATATTGTCTAATATTTCAAGTACCTACAACAACTCTGGATACTTTAAAAACGATATTGAAAACCTTGTGCCTTGCTTCTGCAATCCTTTCATTGCGATTTTCTAATGCGATTTTTAATGCGATTTTTAATGCGATTTTTAAGTATACCGAGTTGTTTTAGAGCATTATAATATTAAACAATAATGTGCATAATTCAATTTTAAACAAATTTATCAAATATATCATTCATATAAAACCAAACGTTCACGATTTATAAACATTTGAAGCAACGCATGCACTCATACCCTGATTAAAACACTTGTCTATCTTTAACAGTGATTTTAAAATATAACGAGTTGCCGTAGGTCATTATAATATTAAACAATGTTATAAACAATTTAATTTTGCACAAATTTCCCAAATACACTAGTAAGATAAATCCAATATTCCAAAAGTTACAGAAGTTACAACAAACAAACGCACGCACAAAAAATATACTTTACAAATTGCTTCTGGCTCACGCAGAATTTTAATATATTAATTAATTATTTAACTAATTATTAATCCATTTATCTTACCTTAGATGCCATTTCTGTGTCACTTAAAATTGTCACTAGATCACAAATGATACCGTTAACCGAATCCGATCCGGTATTTATACAAAAGTTTGCCAAAAATCCGGGGACGGAATGGAAGGGAGTCCCCGGATCAATCGTTATAAACTAAATCATTATTATATATATAGAATATATAAAACAATTTTTTTTGCTGTTTAAGATGAAGTTTTGAATTATTCTAAAATTTGGGTTGAAATTTTTTTACAAGATTTATCACAAAAACTTATAAGATTTTTTTTAGTAATAATAATGAGAAGAATTTTTGTTATAGAATTTCTTTAACAAAAATAAATAAAAATTATTTTAAAATTACCTATTTTAATTTATACATAAGTGGATAGTCTTTAGTTTGTTTATACAAAATTGTTTTTTTAAAAAATGCAGAATTATAAAAATGTCTAAAAAATTTTATACCACTCTCTATAAAATTGTGTTAAACATTATCAAATTGAAATTGCCTTAAAATTTGAGTGTTTTTCACCAGATAATCATAAATAAAAGAAATGTTACAAAATTCATATATTACAATTTGTTACAGAACCATAAAGCCGGTAAAAAAACATTGAAAACTCAGCTAAATTAAAAAAAAATTCATCAATTTCTGATTATTTTACTGGCATTGTATTTTGCTGACTCTAAATTCAGAAAAACAGTACTATTTTGAAAAAATGAGAGTTTTACCAAAAGCAGATACTTTTTGAAGGTATAATTTCACGTTTCGACGCTCAATTTGTGTCATCATGCAACAAATCTAATAAACACTACTTACATAATGAAGGATTAAAAATTTTACAAAATCGCTCGACTTTGAGAGGCCCTCGTTTAAAAAAAATGTACCAAAGTGTGTTGGGCAAATTATATCAAAATTTGGCGCATTTAATCAAGATTGTAAAATGGTAAAAATACTTGGTAGGTTTATAATTAAAAATTCGAGTGAAAAAATAAAAACCTAAGAAAGTTCACACGTGAAGTCCAAGAAATATTTCAACTCTTAGGTTTTTATTTTTTTCTCGAATTTTTTTTATTACAAAACATACAAATACATTGTATTTTTTTCTCGAATTTTTTATTTTGAAATCTTGATTAAATACACAAAATTTTGGTAAAATTTGCCAAACACCCTTTGATACACTTTTTTTAAAGGAGGTCCTTATAAAAAAATAAAAACCCAAAACAGTTTAATATAACTCGTTTCTTAAAACTTGCGCGTACGACGAACGTTAGAACTTTTTGAGGTTTTCATTTTTTTACTCAATTTTTTTATTATATATCCCATCAAATATTAGGTTGTCAAGTATCTCCCTTCCGCCTTTTTGTATTATAAACCAAGAGCAAAAAAGCGGAAGGGAGATATTTGACAACCTAATATTTTACCATTTTACAATCCTTATTAAACACACAAAATTTTGATGAAACTTGCCAACAAACTTTAGTGCATTTTTTTCATACAAGAGCCCCTCAAAGTGAACCAAATTTAAAAATTCTAAATTCACACTCCGACAAAAAGTCTTGATTCTTAAAAACTTGGATTAAAAGTGTCATTATTTTTTACTGTGGTCCTAGAAATATTATTTACGATTATGAATCTAAAATTTATATAAACAAAATAAATAAAAAATTAACCACAATAACCGCAAAATGGTCAAAATTCCACGAAAGCTCTAATTTGCACTTAAAATTTCATATTTTCCCAACAATTTTTTCTAAATTTTTTTATGATAGTTACGATGAATACTATCACTCTGTTGAGTTCTGGGACACCTTGTATATATTATATAAAATAAAATTTAGAACAAACAAACAACTTGTCACTTGAACCGGATACAGTTTTTTTTTCAAATTTAAATTTAATATTTATATATATATATATATATATATATATTTATATATATATATATATATATACGTATATCTGGTCCATTATTAGGTCACTCCGATTTTTTTTTCCTTAGACCTTGCCTTTTAAAGTAGTACTTAAAAGTTTATTGTTATTATTGTGATGTATGCTTTAATAAATTTTAATTGGCAAGGTCTCAATGGTGATTCAAAAATGTCTAATGGCTTTGAGATAATATCAATTTGTTAATAATTATAATATATATATATATATATATATAAATTTCTCACGATTACAAACAAAAATAAAAAATTCACATAAATATTTACCTCTTCCTTTCAGATTTGAAAGTAACAATCCTTGAAGGCAAATAATTCCATCCAAAACCTTTTTTTTTGGAAAAAGTGACAAAGTATTAAAACCAATTATTAAAACGTTTTAGAATCTAATAGCAGTCTCTTTGATAGCTCTTTACTATATATATCATAGATATATTATCATTTGCATTCAAATTCTGACTATACTGTAGTAAATTTTTCAATTTTGTGCCCAATCACAAAATTGAAAAAGTGCTCCCTTAAAGTCACATTCTAAACGCACTAGCAGATATATTTGTTACCAAGTTATAACTAAGACTGCGCTCAGACCGGGTGCTTTTTCACTTTTTTTCAATAAATTTCACAAAATTGTAAATTTCCTGTGAAAAAATTAAAAAGCAGTCTGTCTAGGCACAGTCCAAGTTACAACTTGGTACAAATGTATTTGCAAGTGCATTTAGATTGTGACTTTAACTAGGCATTTTTTCGATCTCGTGAGAATTATTTAAAAAAAAAAGAAAAAGCACCCATTCTTAGGCGCAGTCTAAGTTACAACCTGGTACAAATTTGAGCATAAATTACGGAGCACTTTTACAATTTTGTGAATATTTTTGAAAAAAAAATGCGTTTAACCAATTTGCTGAACACTTTGTTTCATTTAAAGATGTACAAATTTATGCTGCAGCCCAAAAAGCAGTTCCTAAGATAAAGTCCTTCAGCTTCATTTATCCGTAAGTCTATCTTATTCATAATTTTACAATTTGCTTGTCAGTACAGTCCCTTTTCCCTAAATTCATCTAATTTGCTCGTCATTAGAGTCCCTTTTTTCTAAACTCATCTAATTTGCTCGTCAGTAGAGTCTCTTTTGATTTAAATTTATTTAATTTGGTCGTCAGTAGAGTCCCTTTTTATTTAAATTTATTTAATTTGCTCGTCATTAGAGTCCCTTTTTTCTAATTTCATCTAACTTAGCTCGTCAGTAGAGTCCCTTTTTTCAAAATTCATCTAATTTACTCGTCAGTAAAGTCTCTTTTTATTTAAATTTATCTAATTTAGCTCGTCATTAGAGTCCCTTTTTCCTAAATTCATCTAATTTTCTTGTCAGTAGAGTTCCTTTTCCCTAAATTCATCTAATTATGCTCGTCAGTAGAGTTCCTTTTCTCTAAATTTATCTAATGTGCTCATCAGTAGAGTCCCTTTTTATTTAAATTTATTTAATTTGCTCGTCGGTAGAGTCCCTTTTTTCAAAATTCATCTAATTTGCTCATCAGTAGAGTCTCTTTTTATTTAAATTTATTTAATTTGGCTGTAAGTAGAGTCCGTTTTCTCTAAATTATCTCATTTTTTCGTCAGTCCTTTCTCATATTTAATTATTTTGCTCGTCAGTAGAGTCCCTTTTTTCTAAATTCATCTAATTTAGCTCGTCAGTAAAGTCCCTTTTTTCTAAACTCATCTAATATGCTCGTCAGTAGAGTCCCTTTTTATTTAAATTTATTTATTTATTTCGAAAATGCTATAAAAAAACTATCGGTGCCTTAAGGCAAATTGCTGGAACTTCCCGTACCAAAAATTACATTTTTTAAAACGATTCTTGTTTTAAAACTTTGAAAAAAAAATGATTTTTGAGAAATTTAATATTTTTTAAAAAAAAATATTTTTTTTGGGAAAAAAAAACTTGAAAAGAAAAATTTTTTCACCCACGGAAAGTTAATAAGTTTAAATTTGCACCCAAATTCAAAAACATAGTTCAAAATCTCGTCTATGCTTCTGCTCCTTCCTCCAGAAAGAAATCATAAAGAAATCCAAACTTATACTGCAAGACAACTTATACTGCCTTTGCTCCAACCTCATATAGTAAGTAAACAATTACATATTGTTCCTGATGACTGTCCATAACTTGCTCCAACGGCGTTTGACCAATTTGCTGAATATTATGTTTCATTTAGAGATGTACAAACTTATACAAGCAGTTCCTAAGATAAGAAAGTTCTTCAGCTCCATTTATCCTCAAGTCTATCCAATAATCTACGAATTCTCCTTAAACCTCAATGCTGATCCATTTATTACCAAGGTTGTCTATTAAGGTGCCCGGAAGGTCTTTTACAATTTCTAATGTTCATTTTTTGTACACCCTGTGACATGATGACCGGTGGCATTCATTATGTCACTAATAACCAGACCAGTGCGCGCTGACCCTAATTCCGATGGGCGGCTTCTTGTTTGTTTTCAAATGATAATTTAGTGGAACGGCTGATGGAAAAAATAGTTATAAAGGACAAGAGAAAGAGACACAGTATAAATATTATTTCAGCATATCATAGATAGCGCCCACCGACCTTAGCATGAAAATTTACCCTTAGGTTCAATTCTAGATAAGATTTAGAATTAAACCTAAGGGTAAATTGAACCTAACTCTATATAAATATATAATATAAAAAAGATAAACCTGATTAATTTGGATAAACAAAATTAAGAGAAAATGTATACTAAATAAATGATAAATTTAGTAATAAATGTAAAATTTTCACAAAAACATTTAATAAAAAATATTAAACGTTTAAGATATCTAGAACGCTCTGTTGAATGCTTAAAACACAAACGCACATTTGTTCGGTGTTTATTCCCTATTGTTGATATTCAATTTTTCATAGTCAGTAACTTTTTAAATTTCTTATTTTTAATGATTTTTTTGTTCGAAGTTAATTTTTGATTTATTCATTAGTAGAATATTTTTTGCATAATGTCGAAATCTAGTTTGTTCGTCAGTCGAGTCCTTTTTATATCCTATATCCTCTTTCAGTTTGCTCGTCAGTAGAGTC